ATGATGGAAAATTATCTTTATCTATAATGGAAAAGTTTTTTTTAGAAAACAACATGTAATTACTATTATTCAAAGTAGAACTTAATGATGTTACCTCTTGTAAGTTCAACCATGTTACGTGCATAGTTCATACTTCAGGGCTAAGACTGTCTGATTGAGTTATACCATTACATTTAAACAACAAAAGAGTTACACTTTTTACATTTAGCAATTTTATCTAAGGGATTGGTTTAAAGGCTTGAAAGCATTACTTTAATAACATTTCTCGTTAAAAACGATCATGCTTCAACGTTTCTTAAATCTTTCAACAGCAAACAATCCTCTTTGAAACAAAACGAAAGAACAATTTAAAACAAAACTGAACAATAGTGCCAGAATAACTTATCATCTGTAATTAATGACGATGTTACAGTACTTTCTGTTGACAGAGTTAGAAAACTTGTAACTTCAGAATCATGAATGAACGCGTGTAGGAAAGAAAAATTCAGCAGGTACCTTTTGAGCTACAAATGTCCAACATTTAAAAAGATGCACGATATTAAAAATTTGAATGAAAGACAAGTTATTTTATTATTTGTTTTATTTGTTTAAGATATTAATGTATACCATAAAGATTAAGTAAAAAAAAGTGCTTAAATATCTTTGCAGATGTTGTCACACATTTTACTATTGATACATTTAATAAAGATTATAATCCAATGGGTCTTCTGTAAAGTGTTTCGAATGTATGCATTTTTATTTTCCACTCCACAACATTCCGTTAAGTATTGTTTTTTACATGAAAATATAAGCCTGAGGTATGGCATTAAGAACAGGCTATTTTCACTTTTGACATTTCATAATACAGCGGCGGTAATTAATTTTTATGAGTTGTCTACTGTATTCTATTTGATGGTGATGTCGAATTTAAGAGGTTCATTTATGAAAGCAAATTTAGAAATCTCATTGAGCACAATAAAAAAAAATTACTAACCAACCTTTAAGTCTCAAATAATTTAATAAAACGGAATAAAAATACGACTATCACATAAAACGCATCATGTATTCCTACATGCTTTCCATTCATCTGCTGTTATTGTTCCCGATTTTTTTTTTTTTATTTGATGCTCTCTTCTGTTTCTATACGGCCGCGGCCATATGATGGTATGGCGATGTCGTCGTCGGAGTCGTAGTCTGCGTCGTCGTCGTCTGAGTCATCGTTGACCTTGTCATATGAAGACATTTAGGTTTCCAGACAAACATTTGAGTATAAGTGTATGGATCTCTATGAAATTGTACCACGAGATTCCATACTACAAAATGAAGGTTGGGATTGATTTTGGGAGTCATTGTTCTAACTGTTTAGGAATTTGGGTATAAAACAAGCATTTTTCATTTTTCAGGACAATAACTTGTGTATAAGTGTATTGATCTCTATGAAATTGTACCACAAGGTATTATACTAAAAAATAAAGGTTAGAACTGATTTTGGGGGTTATGGCTCTAGCCTTTTTGGAAAAAGGGACCAAAAACAATACTGTTCCAATACTTTGTATAAATTTCTTATTTCTTCACAAATTTCAATAAGGTTTAATTCAAAGTCTTGAATCTAACCGCGTATTTAGGTTTTTGATTTTGGGCCCCGTTTTTAAATTGGTCTACATTTTAGGTCCAAAGGGTCCAAAATTAAACTTTGTTGATTTCAACAAAAATTGAATATATGGGGTTCTTTGATATGCTGAATCTAACCGTGTATTTATATTTTAAATTTTGGGCAGTTTTTTCGAATTGGTCTATATTGAGATCCAAAGAGTCCAAAAATAAACTTTTGATTGATTTCATAAGAAAATGAATTCTTGGGTTTCTTTGATATTCTAAATCTAACCATGTATTTAGATTTTTGATATTGGACCATAATAGGTAAAAGTCCAATTTCAAATTTGTAAGTTCTTAGAACACTATTCTGTGTCAGCAACCTATGCTTTGTCAAATATTTCACACAATCCAAATTCAGAGCTGTATCAAACTTGAATGTTGTGTCCATACATGCCCAACTGTTCAGGGATCGACCTTTGCGGTCGTATCAAGCTGCGCCCTACGGAGCATTTTAATTTTGTTTTGCTTATTGGTCAGATACCTACCTGCATATATATCGACAGCATATAAATTACAATAAACGAGATAAAAGTTAATATATTTATACGTCAGCATAAGTAACACAGAAAGGAATACTTGCGTACAGTAAGATTTAAAATATTACTATTTTGAACCTTCTAACAGACCAAATGAAGACTCCTCGCGAATATCGAAGAATGATTGAATGGTTTATACAGTGTAATTATCAGAGGGCGTTTATAATCAATGAAACTTTTTCTTTTATTTGAACCTCTCGATTCTGACCGGGCGTGTATGCGAATCCCCCGTCGACAAGGGTAACACTCATGGATACATAAAATCCAAAAGAATATCAGTTCACTCTTTAACTTACCCTGTCTATTTGAACTTTTGGCGCTTCTTAACGACGGGTGTAAAGTTCTTATCGGGGAGCAAAAAGACTTGCCCCACTGGTGGAACACGAACTTATTACCTGCAACTGGATTAACCCCATATATGTGAAACACATATTTCTTTTTCATTTTTCCTATTCTGACAAAAGTGTGACTTTCACAATTTTTTTTTATTAATTCATATAACCATCTGATAATCAAAAATTGCGATTATAGCAGGTAATATACATATCCAGACCATAGTATCGTATTTTGACCGTGGACTTTTGTCCCGTTCGTATGAATATACAATAAACGTGTTAACACCACATATGTATATGTCCCTGAGAAAATAATGGAAGATGCATTGATTATATCATGATTACGTACAATGCATTTCGACCTATTACAATTAACATGTTTGCCTCAATTAATTGTCATAACTTATATTGATCAGTTTATTTGAACTTATAATCGAAACCGAAAGAGCGTAGTTGTCGTAAATTCACTACAGTCATCTCGGTTTTTAAAAGTTTATTTGAATCTAAGTTAAATATATCAAGTCAGATCAAGTCAGGTTATATGTTTTTAAACAGCCTCAATGTACATGTAAAGTTAAAGATAAGTTAAGTGTATTAGTTGACTAGATTTTCCTCCTTTTTATGAAATTAGACCCCGTATACAAGTACTCCATATGGTGTAACAATAATCAGCAATTGAAGAATATATGCATTCAATAACTGATATGTATATGTCAAGGTTAAAAACTTACATATCTTTTGCAATAAGTTAATTCTATTTCATATAACATCAGAGATCATATTTAACTGTTGAATCCTAAACGTCAAATTACTACAAATGTTTTAACTAACATTATTCAAGGGAATATCAAGTTACTTTTTGTGAAGGGAGAATTGATCAGTAATGGAGAAAAATGGGTTAATGGGCAAACCAGACGACAAGTTGCTGTAATAGAAATGATGTGTATATGGGGACTTTGACATCCGACAAGGTCCAGCGGTATAGAATGATCTTGTCATATCACAACACAGCAAGTTATTCTTGAAATTATGTAATTCCATTATTTTTTATACTATCTCATACAAAGTTTTAGGTCTTCGGTGTCAAAATTATGTAAATAAAGATTGATAGACATACAAACACCTTTTGTTTTGAACTTATACAACCAATGTAGTTCATTTGTATTGAAGTTATAATGCGAAACGTACCGGACCTTAGCCAAAAGATTCCCAGCAGTCCAGGACCTTAAAACTACCCACTCTTTCTTGTCTTCAAAAAAGGGATCGATGAATATTGTTGATATGAAACAATAGTCAAGCCCATGAAATAAAGGTTTCCTGTTATAATAGGACATGATAGCAGTGTAATCTGACATTCTACAGTCTACATGCAAAAACAATGACTGGGAACACGAGTTTGACTTTGGATCATCCCTTTGGAGAATCAATTTAATCTTATCATGCATAAAACCATTGTAGTCGATATCCAATGAAAATCGTGATTACCTCACCAATAGATAACTTGCATACTCCTGTGCAATGTCGTTATCTTCTAAGCTGTTATGAAGTCATTTGACTGTTTGTTTCATGTTATACCAGAGTCTGTTAGTGGGTGTAATGTTAACCGATATGGTTCGGACCGTACACTAATGGTTTGTAAAGCCTTATTGTTTCGTCTTGTCTAAACGGACCGTACACTAATGGTTTGTAAAGCCTTATTGTTTCGTCTTGTCTAAACACATTAATGAAGCAAATGCATGATACAGTCAGACCGAATGAATTATACACACATGGTTTGGGCTACACGCATACGGTCGAAAAACTCGTATGGTCTGAACTGAACGAATGCATCAAAATACTCTTGGGTCTGGGAAATTCTTATATAGATACATTGATATTCAGTCATCGGTTATATTATTTTTCTACTTTCTTCGTTAGTACCCGACTTCCAATTAATACCTTGAATAAATTGGCATTTTAAATAGAATTTTTGACATTTTTTATTCCTCAGAATTTAAGATCACTTTAAGGAACGACTATGTATTCTATTCAATAAGTAATGGTATTAGTGAATGAAATTGAAGTAATCGTATAATTTTTAAATGTTGAACAAATAATTGATTTAAATCAATATTACTTTTGGATAAAATATTTCCGTCGATCGCGCGTAAATTGACCATATGGATATTTGTATAAATTACATAGACCAATTAATAAAGCAAAATATATCTGGCTTGTAAATTATTTGGTTTTGTGTTTTCAAGTATCTATTATCACATTTGGTAAATAAATCGGTTTGTATACCACAGAAGCATACAACGGCTTTCATTTTTACCTGTAGCTTAATATATTGGAAAAATAAATATACATATGTGAAAATGTATTTAAATTTTTGTATTTTTTTGTTTGTTTGTTCTCAGGTAAATATTTTTTAAAAGTTTTTAAACAATTTACCGCATTCATATAGTGTGCATTTACATATACATGTATACTTAAAGTGTGTTGTTTATTTCAGATGCTTAGTAAGTGATGCACATTGACTTAGTACTCTTCCTGTTAGTTTTCTCGATAAATGGTAAGTTTAATTTTAGAAATGATAAAGATGTATTCATTGAATATAACGATAAGAAACATTTTTTCTAATGTAAAATTTAAATATAAGACACCGACATTATAGCACTGTTTAAGAGGAGACAGTGACATCTATGACTTTATAACAGGCACGTTATATCAGGTACTCATAAAATGTCAGTCAATTTGATACATGGCTAGTTAAGAAGTAATCACAAGATAGGATTTTACGATTTTGAGACTGGTTAACTGAACAGTATTGTTGATACACGTACTAGTTAATTAGGATTCAGAAGTTAGACTGTATCGTTAATGGCGCCTGTTTTTTATACCAAATATGACATATCTGCAGATATATGATTGATTGATTTTTGCTTGTTTAATGTTCAATGGCAGTTTTGTCATTCATATTCAGGAAAAATAACTTTGTAATACTATTGGTAGGGATCTGGTTGTAGGGCGGGAAACTTATAATTACAGACAAATTTTATAGATTTTTAATAGATATTGTATTAATGATAAATGACATTTTGGATTTTTTTTCATCTTTTCTTTTGTAAATTGTTTGAAGAATTTTGTGGTTGGTTTGTTTGTTATTCTGTATAAACTTAGTTTCTGAATGCTATATATATTTTTTTTTTGATGAAGCAAACTCCTTTAAAAACTAAGCTTAGTTTGTCTATTAATAAACATATATTTAGATTTCTGATTTTGGTCCCAGTTTTCAAGTTGGTCCAAATCGGGGTCCGAAATTATACTGTGTTTGATTTCAACATAAATTGAATATATATATAGGGTTCTTTGAAAAGCTGAATCTAAACCTGTATTTATTTTCATCATTAATTATTAGTTAATACCCCATTGAGGTCCAAAGGGTCCTAAATTAAACTTTTGTTTAATTTCATCAACAATTCAAAAATTGAATTCTTGGGGTTCTTTGATATGCTTATGATAACAATGTTATTAGATTTTGGATATTGCACCATAATAGGTAAATTTCCGATTTCACAAATTTTTCAGCTCTTTGACCACATTCATTTTGTGTCACAAACCTATACTGTGTTAAATATTCAATCACAATCCAAATTCAGAGCTGTTTTAAGCTTAAATGTTGTGTCAATACTTGCTCAACTGTTCAGGGTTCGACCTCTGCAGGAAAATCCGGTTTGCTGTCACTCTGACAGCCTCTTGTTATATTTCCATTGAACTATCAGAAGTACTCTTATTACATTGATTCAGTATTGTATCAATTTAATGCAAAAATGCGAGGTAAGCAATACACTTCAGTTTCAGGGTTGCAGCGGCCCTTGCTTGGCCTTCTTGTTCATTTACTATATACTCCGTGACCAATTACCATAAACTATGCTATTTAGACAATTGAATATTATGCAAATTAAAGTTGTGTCGTACAAACGTATGTGCACCCACAGGGACTGACAGTCCACTCGTTCAGTTCCACCACAGTAGTAGTATGATACCTTATAAATAAAAGAAGATGCGGGATAGACGTCAATGAGACAGAGGGCCTCCAAGTGGTCTAATTGGTTCATCTAATACGTCACTACCCTGTCAACTCTGAGTTTGTGAGTTCGAACCTTGCACGTGGTGGATGTGTTCGACTCCAATCTTAATTGACTCTCCTGCCGAAGTTCGTTGGTTCACTCCGAGCACTCCGGCTTCCTCCATCAATAAAAAAACTTTCCGCCATGATATAGCCAATAGTGCTTTAAAGTGGCGTTAAACACCAACAATAAATCAATGACTGAGATAACAACCTTATGACATTAAAAAACATCTACCAGTTACTAGATTAATTTTCATCAAGTATACTGCACACAATCATATATACATAAGAAGAAATGGTAAACAAAAAATCAACAAACATGGCTGAATTTGATGTTTTTAATTCTGATTATATTAGTAACCGCTGTGGTCAACATCTTGAAAAGATGAATTTCTTGTTTTTATTACAAGTGTGGACACAGATCAGTGTGGACAGTATGATTGGATGTTTGACAGTGTTTTATATGACAAAAGTTCTATGTTTTATGTTTTCTATGTATTAACTGTGTTGCACAATGACAACCAACATGAGCATTAGGGGTGTTGTTTATGAAATATTTAGTTTTTTATGTTCAACAGATACTAATTGCATTAATTACCAAATGATTATGGTAGAATATATATGTTCCACTTCTTTGTTTGGATACATTTTGTAGCTAGGAGAGGAACACATAATAGGTTAATTTTTTTCTTAATGTGATTTTTTTTATATGGGAGATGGTATCTGAGAACATGTATTTGCTTACTATTTGTATGGTTCTATTTATAATACTTTGTGGGGGATAGTCAGTATCATAAGTAAAAGATTTCGGTTAAATGTGGAAATTGTTTCTCAGTTTAGAAGACATTTAATGTTTTTTAGTAATGACAATGCCTGACATGATGATTGGGGCTAGATGAGCTAGAAAGTGAATTTCTGTGTTATTTTTTATTAATTCTTTGAAAATATCTCCTCCAAAGCTGTTCAAAGCAAAAAAAAAGTTTTGACCAGTATGAAAATGATATCAACAAAAGAACCTTTGTGAGCATGCTTCAAAGACTCATAACTAACTACAGAAGTCATATGATAAATTGTCAAGTGGATATTATGAGCATCTACTTAATATGTCTAAATATCTAAAAAGTTTTAGTATTCAATATGAAAAAGCTATTGCAAAAGTATTCTCTTTTCAGTTTTTTTGTTATATGGATACAAATATAAGTGATACCAATACAGTAAGGCAGTTTTGTTATGGTATGAAAGTGAAGTAACTAACATTTACTGTTAATTCACACAAATTAAGAAATAAACAAATGAATGATAAATGTTGAACATGTACAATGAAATATATTTTAGAAATCAATTAGGCCAGATAGGCCTTATAAATTCTGGTCTTTTTCTAAACATACTGAATGACCATTTACACTCAGAACTGAGTCACCAGTAGGCAGTACAGATGTAAAAAAAAAATGTGGATAGTGTCCACATGTGGACACAGATGATGCCCCCACTTGCATATCATACAGTTATAAAGGGACATAACTGAAGTGGTAAAAGTGACGCTACCCAAATTTGAACTTGATCCTAGTTTTGTGGTAATAAGCATTGTGTGCAAGTCTCATAACATTTGGTTGAGGCTAACTTAAGTAGAGAACAGAAACTAAAAATTCAGCAATTTCTATTTGTAAACACGCAATAAATAATTATAACTCTAGAACGGTTGTGTATGTGTATAAGTTTTATAACATTTGGAAGTTAGAGAACGGAAACGAAAAATTCAGCAATTTTTATGTTTATAAAGGGACAAAAAATCAAGAATGGTAAAAGTGTTGCCACCAAATTTCGTACTTAATCTGTATTATGAAGTAATAAGCATTGTGTATAAGTTTCATAACATTTGGTTGAAGCAAACTAAAGTTAGAAAACGGAAACAAAAAATTTGTACTTGATCTTAGTTTTGTGGTAATGAATATTGTGTAAAGGTTTCATAATGTTTGGTTGGGGCAAACTTAAGTTACAGAATGGAAACTAAAAATTTTGCAATCTTTCAATTTATAAAGGGGCACAACTCAATAATGATTAAACTGACACTACCCAAATTCAACTTGATTTGTGTTTTATCAGTGGAAGTCAAAATTAAACATTGCATTGTATAAAGCATTGATTGTATCTGATTCAACTATAATCATGGACAAAGGAAGATAACTCCAATTAAAAAATTACATGATATTTAGAAGAGAATAAAAATTTTGAAATTTTTCCATTTCTTAAGGGGCATAACTCTAGAATGGTTAAGGGTGACGCCACCAAATTCAAACTTGATCTGTGTTTTGTGGTAATAAGCATTGTGTATAAGTTTCATAACATTTGGTTGAGGCAAACTAAAATTAGAGAATGGAAATGAAAAATTCAGCAATTTTTCCATTTGTAAAGGGGCATAAGTCTAGACCGGTAAAAGTGACGCCACCAAAATTCATACTTGATCTGTGTTTTGTGGTAATAAGCATTGTGTATAAGTTTCATAACAGTTGGTTGAGGCAAACTAAAGTTAGAGAACAGAAACGAAAAATTCAGCAATTTTTCCATTTGTAAAGGAGCATAACTCTAGAACGGTAAAAGTGACGCCACCAAAATTCAAACTGGATCTGTGTTTTGTGGTAATGAGCATTGTGTATAAGTTTCATAACATTTGGTTGAGGCAAACTAAAGTTAGAGAACGGAAATGATAAATTCAGCAATTTTCCATTTGTAAAGGGCATAACTATAGAACGGTAAAAGTGACGCCACCAAAATTCAAACTTGATGTGTGTTTTGTGGTAATAAGCATTGTGTATAATTTTCATAACATTTGGTTGAGGCAAACTAAAGTTAGAGAACGGAAACCAATTTTGGGACGTACATACGTACAGACGGACAAGGATAAAACTTGATGCCCCCTCCGATACGGCTGGGGCTTAAATTAAAATATTGTTTGTTTGCAGTTTACCGACCGACCTTCGAAAATCCGCCCGACTGTGAACATTTTATTGCTTTTAATTTGAAGAAATTATTTTTAATACTTCTATCGACTCGATCCGGAATTTCGGGCCGTGTCCAGAATTGATTCCAAGTCTAGGTTAATTACATGTTTGAAGTTAGGTTTTTCTTCCCTTCCTGTCAAGCGTTCATCGGACCCTTTAATGGTAAAGCACATGGAGATTGTTTACAGGTATCCACGAAGTCATGGAGGAGTACTTTATTCTGTCGTCTTCTGTCAATTTTAAGACAAATAATACACAGAAAAGTTTCAAAGTAAACTGTTTATACTGATTCAGGCAGAATTGCACACGGAATGATGTCTTCGATGATATCATTGACGATGATGCAGCGGATATTCATAAAACCAACACGATAACCGTTTCTGTCTCAAACAAATCGGATACAGAATCTTTTGAGACTGACTTTATGGAACCAATATCAGT